TGTCTTTTTGAGACAGGGTCTCGCTCTGCAGTTTAGACTGGCCTTGAGCTCATTTTGTAGCCCAGGCTGGTCTCGAACTTGCAACTCATCCTCCTGCCTCAGCCTCCCAAGTGCCGGGATTACGGGCGTGCGCCTCCAGGATCACTGTGAGTTCGAGACCAGCCTGGACTACGTTGTAAGATCCTATCTCAAAATAACAAAAAAGAAGAAATGGCCACCTTTTGCCAAGTGTCATGGCAGATATTGAAGGGGAGACCCCAGGGGCTTTCACCTTGAAGGTGGAGAACGCTGAAGTCATGAGCAGTGGCTAAAGACACGGGTCCTACAATCGGCTCATCCGAGATGGGTGGCAGGGTCAGCACCCCTCCGGTGGGGCGTGTAGCTGTGGGTGCCCTGAGCTGTGGCCCTCGCTGCCTTTATGCTGAGGACACTTTTCACCATGGCCAAGTTTGCACAGCCACCTGGATGGCGCTGAACACCTTAGAGACACAAACAGACACAAATGCCCTCAGGCGCACGGGTCCTACAAAATGTAGTCAAATCATTAGGAAATGCTGGGTTCTGAGTCATTTATTTATGTCAAGTTTGATCACCTCTGTGCTATGTCCCCAGCCCAGTTCTGAGTCTTTTCTTATAATTTAATTGTAAGTTTATAGGACTTAATTCTTAGTAATGACTGTTGTTTTTAGTCTATTTTTTGTTCCTGTAACAAGAATATCCAAGCCCAGGTAATTTATAAAGAGTAAAGGTTTATTGCACCCGTGTTCTGGAGGTTGGGCAATCTGAGGTTGAGGGACAAGGTCTGGCGAGGGCCTTCTTTCTGGTGAGGCCCTCTATGGAGTCCCGGGACAGTGCAGACCCCCACATGGGGACTACTTATAAGACACAAGGCCACCATGGCCCTCATAACAGACCCACTCCTGGATAGCCCCAGACGGAGCCTATTGATTCATGAGCCGATTAACCCAATCACCTCTTTTTCGTTTTACTTATTCATTTATTTATTTTCATAGTACTGGGGATTGAGCTCTAGCCCTTCACACTGAGCTACCTGCCCGGCTTCCCCACACACACACCATTTTTTTTTTTGAGATAGTGTCTCCTTCAATTGCTAAATTACTCAGGCTGGACTCGAACTTGCAATACTCCTGCCTCGGCCTCCCAGTGCTGGGGATTATAGGCCACTCCTGGCTCTAATTTTATTTTTTGGGGAAGGGCTATAGATCATGGGGGTACATATCAGTGTGCCCCAGCACTTGTGAGGCTGAGGCAGGAGGATTGCCGCAAGTTTGAGGCCAGCCTGGGCTACAAAATGAATTCAAGGCTAGCCTGAACTACAGGGTGAAACCCTGTCTCAGAATAAATAAATAAATAAATAAATAAATGGAGTGTTATGTTGCCCTGGGGGGCCTTGAACTCCTGGGCTCAAATGATCCTTCTGCTTCAACCTCTCAAGTAGCGGGTGTTACTGGTACATGCTACCGGGTCCATCCCAGTTACCTCCTAAAGGCCTCACCTGCTTCCCTCCCTTAATACCTTACAGTGGGGATAAAATGTGAACACAAGTTTTCATGTGGACATTCAAACCACAGCAGCTGTGTGTAACAATTGGCTTTGAGAATCCTTGAAGATTTAACAGTTTGTCTCCAGCTTTCTGGGTACAAGCTGGCTCCGGACATGACTCTGGCAGCTGTACGTCCTCTTGAGGAGCCTGTAGTCACCAGGTGTGTGTGGGAGCGGAGCTGTGGGTGCTCCAGGCAGGTTCCCAGCTTCCTAGGGACGGTGCCTGCTCCTCTACAGAATGTCCTCCCCAGGACCCAGCACCAAAGGTGAACTGTTCCTCCCTGGCTCTGCTGTTTGACATTCTGATCTGCAGCGCACACACACACACACACACACACACACACACACACACACACACACAGCCAGTCAGGTGCTCCCAAGGTCATCAGGCCAGCCTGAAGGAGAGGCAGCTGGGGAACTGCCACTCTGCTTGCAGCCTGTGACATCAGCATCTTGGGCTGAGGAAAGAGACCCCCAAGCCTTGCCCTGCTGTGTCCCAAGGCCGGGCTGAACTCCCCTCCCTGAGCGCCAGCTCCTCCACTCACGCTCCATCGAGGCTGCAGCGTCCACCACAGGTGGCGGCGCCTGCTCCTGAAGGAGCCCAGCTGTGACACAGGGGACTCCGCCGCATTTAGCCAGCCCCGGGCGCATCTGGGGGGCCCAGACGCCCATGTTGCTGCCTTTTCCCCTCCTCTCCTCTGTCTCCTGTCCCCCCAGTCCCACAGGATCACTCTGATCCGTCGTGGGCTGCTCCTCCTTCATTCGGCCTTGCAGGAGCCGGGTCGGACCGATCGCTGGAAGAGTAGGGGCGCTGTGAGGCGGGTCACTCATGAGACCCCGAGGACCCCCCAGCCTGCGGTCCCCTGAGCAGAGGAGATGGAGAAGGAGCTGTCCCGCAAGGTCCCAGGAGAGGGAGGCTCCAAAGCAGACATGTAAAGGAGCACCGCGTGGGGCTGGCCACGCAGAAGCTGCCCCTGACCCTCATGGGTCAAGGTCCGAAGGTGAGGAGGCTGGAGCGGGGATGGCAGGAGCCCAAGCGGCGGCGAGAGCTCGAGGGGAGGCGGGGAGGTCACCCTTCACGAAGGGGAAAGCGGGCCGGGACGTAGCTCAGCCGCACAGCGCCTGCCTGGCAAGCGCAGGGTCCTGAGTTCCATTCCCGGTACCAAAAAAAAGGGGGGCGGGCTGCAGACGCAGATGTGTGTGCCGAGGGAAGTTGCTGGCGGAGGAAGGCTGAAGAGGCCAGTGGCAGAAACACGGTGGCGATGACGAGAGGTGGATGGGACCGCAGGTGTCCAGGGCTCCAGGCAGGGGGACACGCCCTCCCCGCGTGGCTTCCGGCCAGGTGGCCTCTGGCAGCTGGGGCGCAGCACAGCGTGGAGGTGGGGAATGGCCGGACTGTGCGTGGGAGGAGGCTTCCAGCGCAGCGGCTGAAGCAGGCAGGGCTCTAGGGACTGGGGACAGTCCCTGAGTGCGTCAGTGTCCCAGCAGCCACTGACTTTGACTTCTTGCGGGGGCCTGGGGTGAGGCCTGGGGGTGAGAGCGGCAGCGCTTAAAATCCTCTTCGGCGCCTTTCCCGGTCCTTTGGCCACTAGATGGCAACAGTTCCCCTCCAGGTCCTAGGGACAGCTCAGGAGCCTGCCATAGAGGCCCAGGAAGGTGGCCCTGGGTTTCTTGCTCCCGCTCTCGCTCCTGAATGCGGCCCTATCCTGCCCCCCATCCGGCAGCACTGAGCACCCATCCTGTGACCCCAGGTGCAGCATGAAGAAGCGGCCAACACAGCAGGACTTCTCGTCACCCTTGGCGCTTTTCCGTGTCACAAGGTGTACCACAGAAGCTCCAGAGACCTCCCCATACTTGGCTGCATAAAAAAATACAGTATATCCTTCCAGGAAAACACAAAACAAAAGGCTTGCAATTCACCACCCTCCTCCCATAGGTAGCATCAATGTCAGTATTCATGCATGGCCTTTTCCTTTGACCCACATTTGTCTCTTCAGTAATTCAGACTTGAGGGGCTGGGGATTTAGCTCAGCGGCAAAGTGCCTGCCCGGCAAGTGCAAGGTTGTGAGTTTGATTCCCGGTATTGGAAGGAAAAAAAAATTTAGACTTGAGTTTCATTAGGAACAAAATAGACTTTCTTGCTGGGTTTGGTGGTGCAACCCTATAATCCCAGCACTTGGGAGGCTGAGGCAGGAGGGTTGCCACAAGTTTGAGGCCAGACTGGGCTACAAAGTGAGTTCAAGGCTAGCCTGAACTGCATGGGGAAACCCTGTCTCAAAAAAAGGCCAAAGCCGGGTGTGGTGGGCACATGCCTGTAATCCCAGCACTCAGGAGGCTGAGGCAGGAGGATTGTTGTGAGTTCGAGACCAGCCTGGCCTACAAAGTGAGCTCAAAGCCAGCCTGAACTGCATACTGAGACCCTGTCTCAGAAAAGTCTTCTCTCTGGTGGTGATGGCTGGGTGCAAACTCAGAAGAGCTCTGTGCTTGGCTAGTCAGGTCTGCTGCAGCCAGGCAGTGGGGGTTAAGGGGTTGTGCTGTCTGGCTAGCCTGCTAAGAGGTAGGGAGGTGACAAGGACTAGCTTTGCAGATTGGAGAGGAAAGAGACTCTATAAAAGTGTTACTAGGCTTTTTTACTTTGCTGAGTAGTTTAGAATATTGTGGCTGCGGGTTGAGAATATTTAGTTCAGTGGTCACTTGATTAGCTTAACATGCATAAGCCAGGCTCTGAGTGCCATCCCAAGGACCAGAGAGAGAGAACAATATTTATGAGAAAATTTATGCCTCTTTGGTGAAATGGAGGCAGGTGGATCCAAAGGAGAGAAACATTAACGTCAGCTCTTGGGGTTTAGACATCCTCCCCCAGATGCAGGACATAGTGAGCAGGGTAGCTACCCCTTGGTGATCCATTAGTTTCTTCTAAAAGTAGCTGGGCCAGTTAGACATTGCTGGGTTCTGGGTTGCTCGCCTCTCCCACTGGAGTTAAGATTCCAGGTTCTTCGCATCGCGAACGGAGAATTGAACTAAACGAGCAAAAAGCAATGACAAAGTTTATTGGAGAGAGTAAAAGTGAGCAGTGAGGGGCATTCTGGCTCTGCAGAGTGAGCTTGGGTGAATAAAAAGAGGAAAAGCAAAGGAAGGACACTGTGGAGACAGCAGGGTGAGCTACTGTGAAGAAAGTCAGGATAGTGCTTCTTACAGCATATGTTGTCCAAATCTTGAGGAAACCTTTGAGAACTTCTACATCCGGGTCCTGAGAGGCAGTGCTGGGATCCCACAGCTCAGGCTGAGTCAGGCCCAGACCATCCTATGGAGAAGGCCACAGGCAGGGCTTTGGGAACTCTTCTGCATGTTGGTCCCGGGATCTTGTTATCAGCAGGGCGCGCCTACTTCTCCAAGCAGGTCTGCCACACCCTGATCGCCTATCTCAACCTCCTCTAAACAGAGGACACGGGTTTTTTCCTCCTTCTCTCCCTCCTGAGTGCAGCTCTACCCTGCCCCCCATGGAGCACAGAGCTCTTCTGCGTTTGCACCCAGCCATGGGAAGGGGTGTGGTAGCAAGGCCTGGTGCTTGCAGCCTGTGGTCAGGATGGGCCCTGGGAAGGAGCGGTGGCTTCTCATGATAACACCCCACCCTTTAACCCCACAAAGGGCTTGGGGAGCAAGGAGGCTCACCCCTATCTGCTTGCTGGACTTCTTGGGTGTAGACAGCTTTGAAGTCCCCGGTCAAAACCACAAGAGACAACCATATCAGGAGCACTTAGCAACCCCCGACTGCCCCCAGAGTGAGCACTCCTGTCCTAGACCCTCTGCACAACTGCTGTCTGCCTGGTGGCTGGCTCCCTCCTGACCTCCTTGGAATCTTTAAGGCCCTCCAGCCTCAGAGGGAAGAGAAAAGAACTAACTTGCTGGAGGTGGCTAATGAGCACACCAGCTTTGGAGGGGGAAAGGAACTTTCTGAAAAGGAGATGTAGAAGGTGGGCGCAGTGGCACGCACTTGTAACCCCAACACCCTGGGAGGCTGAGGCAGGAGGACTCCTGAGTTAAGTCCAGCCTGGACAATTTCACAGTTTAGGAAAACCCCATCTCAGAATTTAAAAAAAAAAAAAAAAGTGACATCAGAGATCAAGGCTTGACAAAGCTGGCGGGGGAAGTAAGTGTGACCTGCTGATTACAAGATCCCGGAACACATGCGCAGAACAGTTCCCAAAGCCCTGCATGTGGGCTCTCCAGCAGGTTTGCCATTGGACGGCCTGGACCTGACATCAGTCTGAGGTGTAGGATGCCGGCACTGCCTCTCAGCACCCTGATGTAGATGTTCTCCTGGGTTTCCTTGAGATTTGGATGGCATAAAAGGACACAGATGAGCCGGCATGGTGTCACATGCCTGTAATCCTAGCATTTGGGAGGCTGAAGCAGGAGGATCAACATGAGGTCAAGACCAGCTTCAGCTACTAAGTGAGCTCAAGGCCAGTCTGAACTCCATAGCGAGACCCTGTCTCAAAAAGATAAATAAATAAATAAGTGAAAAAGATACAGATGTCATGAAGAGCTCACTATCATGGCTTTCCTCCCGATAGCTCAGCACATGTCCTCCAGGGTATAATTTTTTATTTTGCTTTTTTGTCTTTTACTCTATTCAAGCTTGCACTGCCAAGCCAGCTTCTCCCTCACTCTTCATTTGTACTTTTTCAAATAAACTTTGTTACTACTTTTTGGTCTTTTTGTTCAATTCTTTGTTCGAGAGGAGAGGAACCTGGCCTCCCCACTCCAAAAGAGAGGAGAACAACCCACACCTGATAGCACTGATTGGTGAGCCACTTCTAGAAGGAGCTGCCTGATAACATTTTGGTGTAGCCAACCAGGAGAATCAAAAGCCAAGAGATCCGATAACAAAAGTACTGGGGATGTCACTCAGTGTCAAGGCCTTGGGTTTAATCCCCAGTGCCACAGACAAAAAACAAAATCAAAAGAAGACATTCTCTCCACGTGTGGTGGCGCATGCCTGTAATCCCAGCACTCGGGAGGCTGAGGCAGGAGGATTGCTGCGAGTTCAAGACCAGCCTGGGCTACAAAGTGAGCTCAAGGCCATCCTGAGCTGCAAACGAGACCCTGTCTCAAAAAGACAAAAAATAAAATAAAAAAAAAAGAAGAAGACATTCTCTATGGTGAACGTAACCATTATGTATATCTAAAGTGTCCCAATAAAATCTGATTAAAAACAAGACATGGAATAGTTAGAGGATCTTTGCACCAGGGGAGAGGATGGAGGTGGGTGCCCTGGGAAGAATGTGCACCCAGGAATCATGGCCCCACCAGCCTCCCCTCCTTCCTCTGTGGGGACCAGGGTGACCTAGGACCTCCCTGGAGAAGGGAGCACCTGGAGGTGACCGCAAGACACCCATCACCACCAGGGCCGGGGCGCTCCGGGCTTGGGGCTTGGGGAAGGGGTGAGTCAGGGGCTCCCGCCCAGGCCTGCTGCTGGTGCGGGGCGACTGGGGCTCCAGCACAGAGTCAGAGGAAACAAAGCCAGACAGGAAAATGAGGGCTCCCCCGAAGGCACAGCTAAGAAGCCCCAACCTTGGGGAGAAGGTGATACTTCGAGGTGGACCCCACAGGTAGATTCCAGGCTCGTGTGTACATGGTGAACAAAGAGTCGCAAGTGTCCTCCCAACGGTCAAAGGAAAAGCAGCCGCGCCAATGGAAGGTGACAGGACGGTGTCTTTGGGGCAGGTGCGCACCAACGGAAACAAGGCCGTGGCCCGAACAGAAAAATAGTATTGGGGTGGCAGGGAAATAAAAAGCACACGGATAAATCAGCCTTTCCGATTTTAAAAGATGCACTCTGACCCCGGCGCCTCTGCTTGGCTTGTTGGGCGAGATTGGCGGGAATAACCAACCTGGTGCCGGGTCATCCCAGAGGATTGCAACAGGATCACTCCCAGAGCTCACTCCCAGTGAGTGAGATTACACATGTGAGATGCAGTCGGCATCTATGAAGCCGGAACAAGGATGGAGTAGGGGAAGGTCACTGAAGGTCAGCAGGTGCTCTGGCCTGGAGCTGGAGAGGTTTCCCTCATATTTGTCTTTTGTTTGTGTTTGCTTCTTTCAGAACATGGAAGGAGGATTGGGCCTGGGTTGCAGCCCACATTCCAGTGGGTGAGAGGGCGTGGTCTCCCAGCACCCCCTTGTGCTACCAGTACGGGGGCACCTCATAGAGAGAGGGTGGGTACAGGGATCCGAGCAAGGCCACCGGGTAGGCCGCACTGGAGCACTCCCTGGGGACTCCCAGCTGGACGCAACCCAACGACCATCAAACAAAGACAAACCGTGGGGAATGACAGGGACCAGGCTGCTGTTAGGGTTAGTGACAGTCCACGGTAGTGTCAGCAGGCAGCCCCCAACACTGGAAAAATTAGGCCAGCAAAGCAAACTTTAGGCCAGGCATGGTAGCACACCCCTGTAATTGCAGCACTCTGGAGGCTGAAGCAGGAGGATCATTGCGAGCTTGAGACCAGCCTGGGCTACAAAGTGAGCTCAAGACCAGCCTGAACTGCAAAGCAAGACCCTGTCTCAAAAAAAAGACAAAAAAAAGTCTGTCTAGGGGTAGGAGGTGGCAGTCAGTTGACAAAAAGCCAGAAGGTGGTAGTGTCTACGCAGGGAGGGGCAGTGGGTGGGGCCCCAGTTGGGCCAGAGCCACCCAGGTTATGGCCCCTCCGGTGCCCAGGTTTCTTCCCCTCGCCCTGGGCTGCCTGTGCAGTCCAGCCCAGCACGAACAAAGTGCCAAGCATGACACGGCCCAGGGCACAGGCCTGCCGTCCTCCTGCCTCAGTGTCTCAGAGTGCTGGGAGTCGGGGCTGGGGATATAGCTCAGCAGCACAAGTGCCTGCCTAGCAAGTACAAGGTCCTGAGTTCAATTCCCAGTACCAAAAAAAAAAAAAAAACCACAGAGTACTGGGAGTACAGGCCGGTGACGGGACACCCAGTGTGCCTTTACCTTTTTCATGGTCTTTGGTCTCCTTTTGAGTAAATTTGTTAAAAAAAAAAAAAAAAAGCCAGAAGTTTATTCTCCTATAGTTAGGGAAGCCGGAAATCTGAAGTGGCCTCAGGGGACCCCAGTCAAGGTGTGGGAGACCTGGCTCCTTGCCTCTCTTAGCTGTGGCCGTGAGGGGTCAGGTCTCTGC